ATGAAAAGGCCCTCTGCCAGGAAACAGGCATAAGCCTGTAATCCCAGCTGCCTGGGAGTCTGAGGGAAGAGGACTGCAAGTTTTAAGGGCAGCCTGGGAAACTTAGCAAGACCTTGTCTCAAAATTCAAAAAACTAAAATGGCTGGGAAGGAGTACCCCAGTTTCATTACCTAGTAAAGGGAAGTTTTTTTTAAAAAAAAAAAAAAGACATTCTTCGAATACAAAATTAACTCATTTGGACTGAGGCTGTAGCTCAGTGGCAGAGCGCTTGCCCAACATGTGTGAGGCACTGGGTTCCATCCTTAGCACCATGTAAAAACAAACAAATAAAGGCATTCTTTCCATCTACACCTACAAAAAAAAATTTTTTTTTTTAAATCAACTCATTTGATTTAGTTAAAAGTGTCTCTACTATGAAGTTTTAATCAATCTTTAGGCTAGGTTTCAAAGGGGCCAAAATTGGCTTGGTTAATTATTCCATTTCAGGCCCCTAGAAGGTGCAAAAGTTTTAAAAACCCTCCACTGTTGACTGAACCTTCAAAACTAATCTATAAATATCTGGTACCATACCTGGGTTCTGTGTAGATCAAGGAAGTATTCACACTTTTTATCTCTTAGAAAATGACAAAGTTGGGGGGATTCCTAAAAAACAAAATACCTCACTCTCTAGGGCAGTTCATTTAAATTAGATTTCTTCATCTCTATATACTACAGGTACTTCTTTCTCTTCCTCTCGTAAGTTTTCTTAATTATCTGGGTTTCTAAAAAAAAAATCTCACATGACAGTTTGGTACTTATAAACTGTATAAACAGCTATTTAGACAAAACATGCTTCTAATTTCTAAAGATTCATTAGAGTACTAACAAATCCCAACATTCAACATCAGGGTTTTAACTAACAAAATATAAGAATATTACTGTTATAAGAAAGCATTATGAAATAATTGCAGTACTGCCATTTAATGAAAACTTTTTGTTTTGTTTTTGTGCTATTGTGGATTGAATCCAGGGGTATTCTACCACTGAAGCTACATCACCCTTTTATATTTCATTTTGAGGGTTGACTAAGTTGCCAAGTTTGGACTCAAACTTATGAATCTCCTGCCTCATCCTCCCAAGTAACTAAGATTACAGGCAATATGCCACCACATCCAGCTAACTTATTTAACCATGATGTTCACCCAGTTGATGATTTAAGAGTGTCAGTTACTATTTATTTTACGATTTAGTTTATTAAATTCTACATTAGTACAATGTTGCTAAGTCAAAAATATACTTTTGTTTTAAATATTGTGGCTAAAAAGCTGATATAAAAGAAGATATTATATTCATATTTGCATTTTCTGGTAATTTATATTTTTTAAATTATTCAAAGAGATTGTCATAGCCTCCCCCAAAGGTCTTCCCAAATCTTCCTGTGGCTGTGGCACCCAGATACCCAGATTCTTGAGACACTCCACATTCCTCCATCTTTATTCCATCCCTCTTTTGTAGAGTGTCCTCTATCTGGATAGCTTCTCTTATCCTTCCCCTTATACTACCTCCATCCCTCATTTCACCTGGCTAATTATTGCTTATTCTTTTAAGTCTCAGCTGGATGTCACCTCTTAAGGGAAGTCTCTGTTAATCCTAGTGCATCCATTACCCCTCAATAGGTTAGGCTCTCCTGTAACGTATTCCCATGGCACTTGGTACTTCTTCATGGCACTCTACACACTTGTAATTACTTAGTTATTATTTATTATCAGTTATGAGGCCCATGGAGAGCAAGGAACTATCTATTGTATTTACCAAAGTAGTGGTGTTCAATAAGTATTGATGAATACTGTTTTTTTTAATTGGTTTTATTTTTTAAATACATGACAGCGAAAATGAACAGTGTATTAGTTGCACTATAAACCCTCATGTAATTTCCTCTACTTAAAAAAATTTTAACAACCAACAATAAAAATTAAAAAAATAAAAATTTTAAGATGTACTTAGTTCTAGCTTTTTGTTTCCCTAAATATTGCTTAATATATCTCTTCTGTTTAAATGTTTATTCACTTAATACTAACAAGATTTCATTTTCAAAAAAATGCAAAAATTTTAATATTTAAGAAGTTTAGATGTAAAGATTACGTTAGTTCTTAAAAATGTAAGTAACTATTATGAGTTATGACTGGGACATGATTGAAAATTATCCTTCAGGAAATTTCTGAGTATAAGGATGGAAAAACTAGACACTACCCAAGGAAATCAAAGACCAGAAGGGACAAGGAGCTATTTTTAAAAGGCATTTCACCCATCTACATGTCCACCCCTTCTGTGATCAGAACATATACTCATTAACAAAAGAATAGGAATCTTTTTTTCTTTTTTAGTTATAGTTGGCCATAATACCTTTATTTTACTTATTTATTTTTATGTGGTGCTGAGGATCAAACCCAGGGCCCCGCACGTGCAAGGCAAGCGCTCTACCACTGAGCCACAACCCCAGCCCGGAATAGGAATCTTTAAAAAAAAGAAGAAGAAGAAGAAGAAGAGTCTTTCTGCTTAGAAGTAGCAGAAAAGATGGGCTAGCATATAGAAAACAGAATTATGTATACAATTTATTCCTATATCAGAGAATTTTTCTGCAAAACATTAAAAACTCTGTATTATACATTTTTGTAAATTACAAATAAATTATACCATAGGTGATCAATAAGGAAAGATACAGTATTACCTAATGTTCCCATATCTGTCCATACAGAAAGAACCATGCTTGACCACCATCTTGAAAGGTGGTTGGTGTTAGCAAGGCTTCCAACCATCATATGAACAGGGCCTTTAACAAAGCAATCCAGTTTCTCCAGTGTGTCACTAATGGGATTGAAACAAAAAGGTGATTCTGGCTACACTGAAAAGCATCAAAATATAGGAAGGGAACATTACTACTTATGAATAAAAATTTCTTGTGCAACTCTTACACGTCAGCACAATAGTGGATGCTTTACATTTATCATCTTATTTACTCCTCACCAATACACTGAAATGCAGGAAGGTATCCTCATTTAACAGCCATGTTAAAAAAAACAAAAAAGGTTCAAAAGGTTGAAACAGTTTTCCCAACGACATACAATTGCTAAGCTAGAAAGGCGGAACTTACTCTAAAGCCTATCTTTTTACCTTTGGAGCTTCTCTGGAGAAGTACAATGTTCAGTGAGGGACAGTATTAAAATTATAAACTAAACAAATATGAATTCTTTTTTCTGTAACTCTGCATTCTAAAATGAAAAATCATATTCCCTCACAAAATACATAGGCAAACAAAACCAACAGGCAGAAATGAGAAGCCTGGAGTGGCTCCAGGGTCAGCATTCCTGAGTCCTACCAATGTTGCCACATAACTCAAATCCAGACCTGGCAAAAAGACTAATTTATCATGTGGCATGGACCTTCAGGTAACAATAACAAAATTTTCAATCTATTCATGCCCAAGTCCTTTCTTTGCAATTAGCAATATTTATATTTTATTGTAAGGATAAAGTAGAAATAATAGCGTGTGTGTGTGTTGTACGTGTGTGTCTGTCTGCAGGATACAGCGCACATGTAATTATGTTAATATTGTGGACCAAGATCTTTTTGTAAGAGGAAAGAGATTCGAGCATAGTATTACAGAAGTTTTGTAAGTCTACAATATTAAACTTTGAATTAGAAATATGAATGTCAAATTATTATTTATAATATATATATTTCTAAATTTTAGGAGCACCAACAGGGCAGTAGCAATGAGCATACCAAGTACCTAAGTTATGCTTTCTATATATCATTCCCCAGAAAAAAATAACAGAGCTGCTTAGAGTATTAAATGATTCTGAGTCTGGAAAAAAAGAATATAAATGTCAACCTAAGAAACGTTCAATCAAAAAGAAAGGATATAATCAAAGATCGGTGGGCTCATGTCAAAAGAATACAAGAGGGATCTTAAAGGATTTTTCACTAACAAAATCTGGACAACCCAAGCAGCAAAGAGAACCAAGTACAACTGACTGATACACTGCCAACATACAAAAAAACTTGAGTCATAATGATATGCAAAAAAGTGAAGGCCCAACACAACTAGAAAAAAGAAGGAGGGAAAAAAAAACCTCTCTCATTTGCTACTGTTGGAAGTAATTTTTGAGCAACTTTTTACTCTGAAAATTGGTTTATAAAACCTGCCTTTTTCAGTTAAACTACAGTACAGATTAAGTACAGGGCATCAGTTGGTAAGGCAAAGTTCCTCTTCACAAAAGAATGACAATTTATAAATGCAAAAGAAATGATACAATAAGAAAAATCACATTTTAAAATCCTTGATGAACTAACTGATGCAAACAAGGATTATTAATGGATGGTAAAGTCATTTTAAAAGACGTGGGGGCTAGATATTCACACAGTGCCAGAGTATCATTTCAGAGATTACTTGCTGGATACAAAGGGGAAAAAAGTTAACTTTCCCATGGAGAGGTCTGGCTGTCATAATCTTAAGCAAACAAAATTAAAATCACTATTAAAGATACAACCAGACAGCAAACACTTTCTGACCTGATGTAATACGAAGTGTCCAGCATCACCTACAAAGTATTCTGCCCCAAAATATTTAACTTGAATTTAATAAAGTATTTACAGCTAATTTTCAAAAAATAGAGAAATCTAGATCAAATTAAACATCAACAAGAAGAAAAATCAAATAAATCCAGAATGTGGAACCTTCTACAAAATAACTGAATCAAGACTCTTCAATAAGCTTATGGCATGGAAGGCAGGAAGGGGAAGGGAATCATCCTAAATTAAGAAAGATTTAAGAGGCATAACAACCCAATGCAATGTGTGAATGAAATCTGCCTCAGCTTATACACTAGCCTCTTTAACAGATAATACATTTTTGGTATCTCCCCAAATACAAATGTCCATGAAATCAAATCAGGATAAAAAGAAGGAAATTTTTAACTTTTCAACCTGTGGAACAGAACATTTTACTGCACACCACTCACCTCCACTTAGCAGCTTCATGACTAGCCACAGCTCATCTTTTACCACAAAAGATGTGTAGTAAGACACAATATTAGGATGATGGCACTGACTCATGGCTTGAATTTCTTTCTACAAACAGAAAACATGATAATTCATTATATGCAAGCTTAACACATACATTGCAAGTTAGCAAATACAGACAGGGATTCCCAATACTATCACAACCTTTTGGAAACTCCACAGCCCTGATCTCTTCAAGAATAATTAAGCCAAAAAGCCACTTGCCTTCCCACAATCCATCCCCAACTTACCCCTTTAACTCACTTCAGTAGTCATCTTTGAAACTTGAAACACACACTATATACCACACCCTGGTACAATACCACAAGAGTCCTCCACTGGGACACACATTTTTATTTCAAGGTGTCCTGAAAGAACCATCTTGGGAAATATGGTTTAATAGCCACAGAAAGTAATTACTAATAAACAGAGAATAGGGGTTTTTGTTTATGTGGGATACTTTAAAAAAAATATATCGTTTTACTCCCATTTTTGAGAAATGATTAACAATTATCACCCTAAAGAAAAACACACTGAAATAGGACAAGGTTATATACTAAAACAGAGTAGAAACCTGAACCAGATATCTAAGCTTACTCTACCATAGATTATGAGTTTAAATTAGATTTGGTATGATAAAATGCCTTAGAAAGCCCTGGGTATAATCAGGGCCCAGTTTAACACTCTGGTTTCATTCCTAACTACTTTGACCCAGTCCTATGATCCAGCCACAGAAAACTTGAAATTTGCCATGCTTCTTCTAACTCTGGACATTTTGATTCTTCCTTCTGATCTCACTCTAAATAAAATTTCCTCCCAAGTCTGTTAGGTTCCCTCTTATCTTCCAAGTACCATGTCTTTCATTCCATCACCTCATATAATGTACTGGATAGTACACTGTATGCTTATTCATCTCTCACTCCTAGATTAAGAGCCACATGAAGGCAAGTACTTAACAGTTGATTCCCAACCCCTGTGGAATTCATCATACCATACTATAACTGCCTATTTATTTTCTGCATCCCCTGCAAAACTGTAAGTTCAGTGAAAACTAAGACTCTTTTTGGAACTCATCATTGCACCCAGCACACAGAACACCTTCAATAAATATTTGCTGAGTAAATGAAATCCAACAGCACTTTATGTAGCTTTTCATTTACTCATGCCCTTGCACAAGGTCCTTGGTATCTGTTCAATAAGATACATAGTGTGTGAGTTGCTCATAATTTCTGATTCATAAGAAGTGCTCACACAAAAGCCAGTTTTCTTTTTTCTCAACTTCTACTTGAATATAAATTCACTTATGTCAAGGACCTTGTCATATATATTTTGTAAACCCCAAATTCACCTGCATGGTCTTCTTCACTAAAAGCTAAGTAAATATGAAAGAAAAGGAAGAAGGAACTGAAGTAAGCACTTGCCTACTGACATACAGAGTTGAAGAGATAAGATATGTACATAAAAGAGCTAACTGACAGGACAGCACATATGTGCTAAGTGAGTAATAAATATATTAAATGTTATAAGAATCATAGGAAAGAATAGTTAAGGCAGGCAAATGTGACCAAAGAATTCTTTACAAAGGAGGTGGGAACCAGGTTTAGTTCTATAGGATGTGAAAAAAAGGATAACAGTATAAGGTGCAAGGTAAAGTGATTTTTAAATAAGATGAAATATGTCAGATACATTTAAGACACAATAAATAAATCTGCCTACGGCAAACAATTCATGCTTTCTACAGATATTTTTTATGTGCCTAATATACCAACTGTGTGCCAGGTACCTTGCTAGTTATACTGTTACAACAAGAATAGTAAATATAATTTTGAGAGAAAAGTACTAGATATTATATAAATTCAGTGAAGAAACATATTGAGAAAACATAGGAGTTATAATCAGTGAAGTCTTTTAAGTTTTACTGCACTGACACTGAAATAGGAAAGATAAGTAGGTTTTTGATTTTAAGGTTTTGATTGTTTAATTACCTACAACCAGAACATAAATGACCTTGTAAGTATGTCAAAAAAGTTAGCCTTCATCTTAAAAGCTATAGGAAGGCATAAAAAGTTTAACCATATATATTTTTTTCATAAATCACTCTTGCTACAACATAGGAAGTAAATGAAGCCAAGACTAGAGGCAAAGACTTTCAAGCTATTGCCACCATCTGGGTGAGAGATGATGGAGGAATGATAAATTTCTCAATTCTGTTAATTGCACTACAGTTATGTTAACATTAGAGGAAGTTTGATGAAAAGCACGTGGGAACTCTTTGTACTACTTCTACAACTTTTCTGTTAAAAGTTTTCTCAAAATAAAAGGTTTAAGGGCTGGGGCTGGGGCTCAGTGGCAGAGCGCTTGCCTTGCCCTTGTGAGGCACTGGGTCCAATCCTCAGCACCTCATAAAAATAAAGGCATGCTGCCATCTACAACTACAAAAAATAAATAAATAAAGGGTTTAAAAATTTAAGTGGCTAGGGTGCAGCCCAGTGGTGGAGCGTTTATCTAACACACATAAGCCGCGTTCTATCCCTTTAAAAAAAAAAAGAGGAGGGGCTGGGGTGGTGGCTCAGTGGTAGAGCGCTTGCCTAGCATGTGTGAGGCACTGGGTTCAATTCTCAGCACTGAATATTTATAAATAAAATAAAGGTCCATTGACAACTAAAAAATATTAAAAAAAAAAAAAGAAGAAGAAGAAGAGTCAAGAGGTAGTAATAAAGAGACATAAGAGGTCTTAGTGACTTAGTAACAGAGAGCTAAGGGGAAAAAGAATTACACAGGAGGGTGACAATAGTGCAAAGACTTGGGATCAAACTATGGAAGGTCTTAAACGTAAAGCTAAGGATTTTGAGCTTTAACTTGAAAAGGGCTTACTACAAAGGGTTTTCCAATAGGAAACTATAAAAAAAACCCACAAAATTCAAACATGAAAAAGGACTTAAATATTTCTTTTCTTCCCCTCTATTCCTTTAAACCCTAACTCCCACTAAAATTATTTTTTTCCTCTTCCTTTCAAAAGGAAAAATAAATACATAAATGTTTTCCAGAAGTGGTATATTCATTCTGACTCAAAGTTCCCAGCAGTTTCCTCAACAACCATTAGTAGGGGTAAATTCTACCCCTACTAATGAAACTGCTTTCTTAAAAGTACTTTATTAATCTGTTATGTAAGGCTTTCTGTTAAGACTACTTAGTTCTCCACCTAAGCTTTCTTATTCCTTTAATAGTGACTTTTCATTCCTTTGTGAAACTCACTCATCTTGATTTCTAACATTTACACTCCAGTTTTCTAATTACTTAAAAGTAGGCAGTTTTCCTCCATTTCACACAATTCAGTCAGTCCCCCAAGTAATGTTACTGTATTCATTTATTCATATAGAATAAATAAAGCCTCTGCCCTCATGGACAGTTTATTTGGGACTATAAACAAATTTTGCATCTAAGAAACCTGTGTCTTCCTTTCCTTTACAATTGTTACAACCTGAATGTACAGTCTCAATACCTCTCAGTACACCTCAAATTATGAGTTGTAACCTATTTATGGGTCACAAAATCAATTAAGAAAGTTGCACTTAAAAATATAATAAGAGAAAATGAGTATGTTCCACACAATCAAGAATTATTCCATGAGAATGTTGTTTCAGTTACATTAACATTATATCTAATAGAAATGGACAGATATACATATATATGTATTTCTACAGAAAAAATATGATTCATTATAAAATTAGAGTATTAGCTGATTTCAGCATTCCATATATTCCTGAAATTTCTTCAAGTCCAGTGGAATTTTCTTGCTTATTTCCCCAACTCCCCCAAAAGCCAATTATTTTTAACTTGTTCTATTAAAAGTCACTTTTGCTCTTTTTCATATTTGCTAATAAGTACATATGTACTATACTTGCCATTTAAAACTTTATTAAAATATTTGGATAGCCAGCATGGTGGCACATGCCTGTAATCCCAGCAGCTAAGGAGGCTGAGGCAGGAGCCTCACCAGTTCAAAGCCAGCCTCAGCAGCTTAGTAAGACCCTAAGCAATTTAGCAAGACCCTATCTCAAAATAAAAAATAAAGAGGTCTGGAGATGTGGTCTAGTGGTTAAGCACTTCTGGGTTCAATCCCTGGTGCCAAAATATATACTTCTGGATAAAATTTAGAGATCTCTAACCAATTTTATTTCTTTTGATAAATCAATTTGTATTCCTCTAAAAGTAAGGCCTTGACATAAAAACAAAAATACTGTCCAGAATGTTTTATGATATTTAAGAAGAGATGTTCTACTTTTGAACTAAATTAAAAGCAACATACTACACAAAACAGAATAGACTTGAGTCAGAAAAACTGACTCTACCTCTTCTACGATTTGTTTCCCTCATCTAAGAAATAATGCTATTACCTATCTCAGACATGTTTGAGGCTAATGTACTGAAAGATGTTTGCTATTATCATCATGTGATCTTAGCCAAGTTATTTAAGCTTTGAACCTCAGATTCTTTAGTCCTTAAGTAGTAAATAAGAAAGCTTTTTATTTACCCTGTCTCTTGTCTCTATCATTATAGACAATGTACAATAAATAGTAAATAATGAGTATTCAAATTAGGCTTCTCAAACTCTAGTATTAATATGTAGATTAGAATTTTGCTTTGCTTTGACAGTTTACAATTTGCAGGCTTCCCTTATCATCATTGCAGTTCAAATGCTGCTGTATGATATTGCTGGCAACTGTAAATCTAGATCTTCAAATAGGATTACACTCAGCCTCCCATTTCAAGTGCATGTTCTCTCACCAAAGATGGGACAAGATCATTCCAGCAACTCACTCCTGCTTCTGTGCATGTGTTATCAATTCCAGAAGAAATACATGTGTCATACTTGCTAAAAGTTCGAAATATAAATCCATTTTTTTTTCATTTCAATTACTATGTAATACTAAAACTCTGTACAGACAATATCAGAAATTAAATCCGACTTGGGACAGTGGAAGGCTATAAGTATATAGCTCAGTGGTAGAGCACTTGCCTATCATGAGAGGCCCTGGGCTCTATCATCTCCAGCATCAGGAAAAAAAGAAAAAAAAAAAAAAAAAACACACTTTAAAAAGAAAAGAAAGAAGAGAAACAATTTGAGTCAGTGGAAAACTTTGGATAGGCAGGTCATCCTAGTCCTAAGCCCTTCCTTTTCTATTACTAGCTTTATATGCTCTTAGAAAAATTACTAGCTCATTTTATATGGTTTTAAATACTGTTTATAGCTTTATAGCTAAATAAAAGAAATTAAAGTTTATAGTGGGTTTCAAGAAAAACCTCATGAGGTACCCAAAACAGGTATTATTATTTCCATTTAAGAAAGAGGATTCAAAACATTAAATGATAATTGATATATTTTCCTTGCTGAGCCCTTACTACGTATTTAAAACTATTCTAAGCATCACCGTGCACAAAAGAAGTACAAAACAATTATTGTATGATGACATTTTAATCTCTTACAGTTATTAATCTTTGAGACTCACATTACTTCTTCCTTTCCCTAGCCTTTGTAGAAGACAATGCTGCCTGGGGGAGGGTGGGAGTGGGTATTTTCTCAACTTGCATCAATGGTCTTAATACAAATTGGTATTTAGGAATCTAAAATTTAGGAAATCTATGTCTTTTTGGAATATTCCATTGATCCAGGAATCACAACACCATAATATTTAAGGGAACAGAGAAGTAAGCAAGCATTATTTATACCAAGAAGAAAAGAAGAAACATGGTAATCATCCAGTACTAAAGAACAAGTTAAATAGTCATCTATCAACAGAATACTACAACAAAAAAACAACATTAAATCCACATTTATAGACACAGAATCTGAGTTGAATAATAAATTTTTCAATAAAAAAATAAATATATAATTATCTTGCCACTAAAAAAAAAGATGTATTTTGTTTATTGGTAGTGCTAAGAATCAACCCCAGGGCCTTGCTCATGCTAGGCAAGTGCTCTACCACTGAGCTATTATCTCTAGCCTGGAATAGATTTAAATGTTCACAATTTGAAAGATTATATAGCAAATGTTAATCTCGGAGTGAGACGATTATAACTGATTTTTTTCTACTTACCTGGGTTTTATACATTTTACAATAAACATTATTTACTAATGAAGAAATAGTAAGTCCCACCCAAGCATGGTGGGGCACACCTATAATCCTAGCTACTTAGAGAGGTCAGGCAGGAGGATTGCAAGTTCAAGGCCAGCCTAGACAACTTAGTAAGACCATGTCTAAAACTAAAAAAATAAAAAGGGCTGAGGATGTAGTAGAAATAGAACACTTGTCTAGCATGCACAAGGCTCTAGGTTCAATACCCAGTACCACAAAATAAGTGAATAAATAAATATAAACCTTTTTTTTTAAAGAAACAAACCAAAAACTTCATATTATTTCCCACTCTCACATAAATATATAGATGTATGCCCCTCCATTTAAGAAATCAGATGTGCATACCAGGAGTTCATCCATGCTAGTTTGACATTTTTCAAGATTTATCCGTTTGATTGCCACTTTCTCCTTTTTAGGGGTACAATAAGCTGCTTGAACCACAGCAGTTGCTCCACTCCCTAAAAATAAATACATAAAATGAGTAAATAAATAAATGTACACAGAGAGACATGACACTTCTAATTCCCATACTATTTAAACAAGAGTCATATATTATTCCTAGAATAAACAACATGCAAAGAAACACTCTAAAAGAGCAAAGTGAATAAAAGCATCAACCACTTCATATTTACTGAAAATAAATACCAGTGCAAAAATTCAAAATTCCTAGGGTACTAGTTCTAGAATATGATGGCACAGGCCCACATTTCCCTGCTCTTCTATCATACAACTGAATACCCTAAAAACAACACAACATACAATTATATAAGGACCCTGAAAGTTAGAAAGGAGGCAGAAGATTAGCTAGGGAACTCAGGACTTGAGGAAAGCACTACTGTGAGTTCTCTGGGGTTTCCTTCTATTTTCCACATATCCCAGACTATACACCAGAGAGGCCTGTAACCAGGTACCAACAATAGTGAGGGAGGTGGGTGGACGGGTGGATGCACAGACAGACAAATGAGAAAACTCTGCTCTCTGGCCAAAGGACTATGAAAGGGACAGCTCAACAGAGACCAAATGGAGAGAAAATTTCCTAGTCCTCATGAAAAACAGTGATATGCCAGCTTCCCCACAGCATCAGCAGGGCCCTCCATCCCACACCTAAAACAGTGGTAGGCCAGACACACTGCAGGGCAGCTGCATCCCTGCCCTACACCTGCGGCAATGCCAAGCCAAATTGCCCTTAGCAGTAACAAAGCCAGGGACCCACTGCCACCAGACAGCCAAGGCAGCATCTAAAAAGAAGGAACAGTGGTGTCAAGAGAATAAAGTAGAAGAGAATAGCACTGCAAGAGCTCTGAAAACTAAATTACCATAGGAATTACAGCTCACAAAAGTAGGACAGAACCTACGCTAAACCTAAACAGGGAACTGCTAAATTAGAAGATTAAAATAGACTCAAGAGTGTTCTAACATAATATTCTGAATGTCCAGGATACAATCAAAAATTGACATGTCCATGAAAAACGAGGAAAAACACATCCAAACAAGAAAAAACATCATACTGACATCAATACCAAGATCAATCAGATGTTGGAATGTTATGACAAAAATTTCAAAGCACACTGGGTGTGATAGTGTGAAATCCCAGCAGCTCAAGAGACTGAGGTAGGAGCATGGTGAGTTCAAAGCCAGCCTCAGCAACTTACTGAGGCCCTAAGCAACTTAGCAAGACCCTGTCTCAAAAAAAAAAAAATTTTTTAAGGGCTGGGAGGTGGTTCACTGTTAAGCACCCCTTGTTCAACCCCTGGTACTTCTCTCCTCCCCCAAAAAAAATTTTTTTAAGGCAGTCATCATAAAAATAATTCAATAAACAATTGTGAATTCTACTGAAACAAAAAAAACCAGAAAATCTCAGCAAAGAAATGGAATTTGAGCAGAGGGGTTTCTGGGGATTACACCCAGGGTCTCACACACACTATGCACATGCTCTAGTACTAAGCTACACCTCAGTCCCAGAAGTTATTCTTAAAAGTATCAAATGAAAATTATACAACTAAAACTTATATAATTACTGAGATAAAACCTTTCCTAAAAAGGTTCAATAAGAGAGTAGAGATTACAGAGGATAAACTCAGTGACTTTAGGGACAAGATCAATTGTTTACTCAATCTAAACAACAAAGATAACAGACCAAAAAAAAAGAACAGAGCCTTAGGGAACAGTGAAATAATGATGAAAAGATCTAAAACCCATGTGGTATATAAAAATAATGCCTCCCACCCCAACATGTATGTGTTCTAATCCTTGAAACTTGACAGTATGTTACTTATGGCAAAGGGATTTTTCAGATGTTATTAAATTAAGGATCTTGAGGTGCGATTACCTTGGATTATCTGTGCAGGCACAGTACTCACAGGAGTCCTAATGTGAAAGAGGGGAGAGCAAGAGGGTCAAAGTCAGACAAAGAGATAAAATAATGGAAGCAAAGGTTGCAGTGATGTATCCATGAGCCAAGGAATAAATACGATACATGCTACAACGTGGAGAAATCCTGAAAACACCATGCTTAATTAGTAAGAGAAGCTAGGTACAAACACTCACATACTATTTGATCACATACTATTTGATTCCATTTATATGAAATGTTCACAATAGACAAATCCAGAGAAAAACTAGATTAGTGGTTGTCATGGACTGGAAAAAGAGGGAGGTGAACTACTACTTAATGAACATGGGCTTTTTCTGGAAATGCTCTGGAATTAGATTTTAATACACTAAAAATAAGTGAAGTGTACTTTAAAATAGTAAAATCTTACCTCAATTTAAGAAAAAAAAAAAGGATAAGGGAATACTACAAACAACTTAGTTTGTAATTCAATGAATTAGAAAACATGGACCAACTCTTCAAAAACAACTGAAATTCAGCCAAGATATGGATAATACAATAACATAACTACTTTGAAAATTAAATTTGTAATTCTAAAGTTCCCCCAAAATCTCCAGGCCAAGATGGTTTTGCATTAAAAGAATTAATAGCCATTTTACACGTTTTCTAGAAACAGGAAGCAGAAGCACTTCCGAATTCATTTTAAGAGGCCATTTTACCAATACTAAACCCAGATAAAGATAAGAAAACCACACACCAGTATCTGTTAAGAATTTAAGATGTAAAATCTTGAGGCTGGGGTTGTGGCTCAAACCCAGTACCTCACACATGTGATCCTCCTGTACCACATAAAAATAAATAAGATATTGTTATCCATCTACAACTAAAAGATGTATTTTAAAATAAGATGCAAAATCTTTAATAAAATATTTGCTAACTGAATCAGCAACACAGAATACATCACAACCAAGTCAAATGATTCCAGATATGCATAGCTAGTAAAATATTTAAAAATCGATGTACTACACTATAGCAACACATTACAGAAGAAAAATTACATGATCACATCAACTGGAATAGAAAAAGCATTTGAAAAATTCATCAACATGATAAAAAGCCTTTGCCAGGAATAGAGAACTTCTGGCCAACTTCATTAAGAATATCTAAAAAATAAATAACTTACAATTTATATCCTATTTAATAATGAAAGACTATTTTCCCTCTAAGATGAGGAATACAACAGGAATATCCATTCTTAACTCTTATTTGACAAAGTATTGGAAGTCCTATCTACAACAATAAATCAAGAGAAAGAAATAAAAGTCACCCATATCAGAAAGGAAGGAAAAAAAAAAAAACAATTCCTATTTGCAAATGACAGAGCTATAAGAAAGGTTCATATAATTAGTAAGCAAGTTTGGCAAGGCTGAAACATACAAGATCAATGCACAAAAATCAATTTCATTATACACTAACAATAAATGAGTAAAAGCAAATTTTAAAATGTTAATACCATTTATAATTGCTCCCTCCAAAATTTAATAGTTAGGTATAAGTCTAATAAAACATGTACAGAATCTTATGTATGCTGAAAATTACAAAATACTGATGAAAAACTTTCATCTTAAAAATCTTTCAGGATGAAAAACTAGTGACACAGACATTTAACTGTGTTTGTGGATTAGAAGTCTCAACACAGTAAAAATATCAATATTCCCCAAACTGATAGATAGGATAGAAATTGCATTAAATAAACCCTATTGCAAAGTATTTTGTAGACAGGTTTATTCTAAAGTTTATATGGAAAAGGAAAGACCCTAAAATAACTGCTATGATTTGGATCTGGAATGTTCCCCAAATGCTCACATGTTGACAGTATGGACCTCAATGCAGCAAGATTCATAGAGGGAAAACTGTTTAGACAATGTCTGGATCATGAGAGCTCTGATCTCATCAGTGAATTAATCCACTGATAGTGGAATGGATTATTGGGAAATGGGACTTAGATGGAAAAGCAGATCATTAGCCGTGTTCCCTGAAAGAATATATTTTGTCCCTGGCCCCTTCTGTCCTACCTCCACCCACCCACAGCTAGGTAGCTTTCCTCCGCAACACCCTTCCACCATGATGTTTCTGCCTTGGAGTACGCAGAATATGGACTGAACCTCTGAAACCGTGGGCCAAAATTAACCTTTCCCCTAAGTAGTTCTTATCAGATATTCAATCACTGCAATGAAAAGCTAACACAATAGCCAATGCACTAATGAAGAACAATAACAAAGCTGAAAGATTGGTCTGGGGAAGTGGCTCATTGGTTGCACCTAGCATGCATGAGGCCTTAGATTTAATTCCTAGTTCCACCAAAAAAAGGAAAAGACTCACTACCCAATTTCAAGACCTATACAGTTACAATAATCAAGACAGTGTGGTATTGGCAGAGGGATAGATACACAAAACATATAGAAACCACAAACAGATTCACATAAATATGCCCCATTTTAGCAAAGGTACAAAAAGCATTTCAATGGAATTAGATAGCCTTGTCAATAAATGGTACTGGAGCAGACAGACATCCAAAGACAAAAAAATGAACTTCAACCTAAATCTTTTATTTAAATAAAATAACTCAAAATAGATCACAAAATTAAATATAAAACAGAAGACTATAAAAATTAAAGAAAGGAACACAGAAGAAAATCTTTGGAACCTAAGGACTAGGCAGAGTTCTTAGGCATAAAATCAAAAGCACAATTCATAAAAAGAAACCCTGATAAATTTAACTATCAAAATTAAAAACCAGGCTGGGATTGTGGCTCAGCAGTAGAGCGCTCACCTAGCGTGTGCGGGACCCGGGTTCGATTCTCAGCACCACATAAAAATAAAGGCATTGTGTTGTGTCCATCTACAAAAAAAAAAAATTAAAAACCAAGGAGGCTGAGACAGGAGGAGGATCACAAGTTTGAGAAACCTCAGCAACTTAATGAGGCCTTAAGCAAATTAGTGAGACCCTGTATCAAAATTAAAAAAAAAAAAAAAAAAAGGATTGAAGATGTTGCTCAATCGTTAAGCACTCCTGGGTTCAATTCCCAGTACTTAAAAAAAATTTTTTTAATTAAAAACCCTTGC